GAACTTTGTCACAGCTGCAAGCCATTAGACAAGCTTGGCTGCTAATGACATTCTACTCTAAAGCTGGGCGGGCCACGCCTTTAATCCAGCTCTCAGGAGGCAGAGGCACGGGGATCTCTGTGAGTTCAAGGCCAGCCTATTCTACATGCTGTCTGGATATTGAGAGTGGTGACCACATGTACACACGCACACCCAGAAGACACAAAGAGGCTTGTTTACCCATATAACCGGGTCTTTCTAGGGAGTACAGGATGCCTTCTAAGTAGGTCCAAAATGGACAGGACAGGGAGAAAAGACAGGCCAGGGCCTTTCATAGTGGTCAGGGCAGGGCAAGCTGAAGGCTCGTAGGTGGGGGCCATGTTTGATGTGATCCTTTACTGCTACCAATGGGAGAAACAGCCATGCTGTCCTCCCAGCCTTCCCAGATGAGGGCGCAGAAGGAAAGGAGAGGTAAGGCATCACACAGTGGGCTGAGTCTTGATCTGGTGTGGCTCTCATTTTGTCCTGCTCATTATTAAGATGGATACTGAAATGACTACCATGAATTTCTCTTTGCAGTTTGTCAGTTTTGCTCACATATTTCAAAGCACTGTCATTAGGCACACAAACATTTGGAACTTAGTGAGTTGACCCTTTTGTCATTGTGAAATGGTTCTTTCAATTGGCAATAGGTGTTACTATCAAAACCGCATTGATGTTATGAGAACCACTCATGCCTCCTCCTCTTGATTAGTGTTAGGACGGGATACCCATGACCGCCTGTTACTCTTCTGTGTCTTTAAAGTCATCTATTAGCGCCACTTTCACTTCCTCTCGTTGGGATGGTGTACCCATGTCCACCTTTACCTTATCAGAAAAACTGTAGACAACATTTTGAATCCTGTTGTTTTTTAGTTTTTTGAGACAGAGTTTCTCTGTATAGCTATGGCTGTCCTGGAACTTGCTCAGTAGATGAGGCTGGTCTTGAACTCACAAAGATCCACCTGCCTCTACCTCCTGAGTGCTGGGATAAAGGCATGCACCACCACCACTGCCAGGCTGAATCCTGCTGTTCATTAAATCTGACAGTATTTAAATATATATATATATATATATATATATATATATATATATATATATATATATATATATATATATATATATATAATTACAACATGTGGTCATCACTATAGTTAGGTCTAACCTATCACCTTGCTATTTGATTTTGATCTTGCCTACTCTTTGGTCCCCTTTCCTGTGGTCCTGTGGCCTTGAGTTCTAAAACAACTTCTATAGCCCTTGGTGCCTGTCCGGCCAATTGACCCTTGTGCAGCTGGCCTGGTGGGTGACCACTGTCCATTGTCCTGTGTAGTCTATGATTCTACAAGGAGGAGCTGCATGGGCTCCATCTCCTGAGCCTATGTGGGGCTCAGGAAAGGTTGTTCCTTGCTATGAGTTTTCTGCCTTTGGCTTTCTCCCCTCCTTCCTCTTGTTCTCTTTATGGAATTGGTATTCACTTGTTAGCTTCAAGGTACAAGTAGAGACCAGTAAGTACAGATAGTCTTCACCTTATAAAGGACTGAGTGTTACATCCTTCTAAATTCCTACACTGAAGACCCAATTACCATGTAAATGTATGGGGAGATGGGGGCTTTTTGAAGATCCAATGCAATCATAAGAGTGGGATCCTTGAACTACTTTTACTATGGTACTAGTAAAGAGTGATCAAATGATGCTATTATGTTGCTACATTTTTAAAAAATTTTTATTTATTTGTTTATTTATTATGTACACAGAAGAGGGCGCCAGATCTCATTACGGATGGCTGTGAGCCACCATGTGGGTGCTGGGAATTGAACTCAGGACCTCTGGAAGGACAGTTGGTGCTCTTAACCTCTGAGCCATCTCTCCAGCTCCATGTTGCTACATTTTTAATAAAATGAAAATCTTGAAATCTTAAAAAAAAAAAAAAAGAGTGGGGCCCTCACCTGCTAATACTACTATAGGGGGCACAAATGCAATCCTTCTGTGTGAGAGGTCACAAGTACACCGAGTACGCTAGGTTCTGTGCACCAACTAAGAGAGCAGCTCTACAACTTAGCTACTGTGTAGGCACTTGATCTTGGACGTCCTAGCCTCCTGAACTGTGAGCGATACACAAGTGAGCTAGCCAGTCTATGGTGTTTTACATGGCAACCCTGAATGACTAAGGCACCATTTGCTTTTGTTTCCTACAAGTCAAGGCGGAGTTCCCAGTCTAGGGCACTTGTGTGCTTGAGACAGATATAGTCTCATGACCTTGTGACTTGACTGCTGGGGATCTTGGGGGGAATGTGAAGCTCTGTATGTCTAGTTTTGCCTAGGTCCTAGAGAATCTACTAGACATCCAACAAGGCATACTTTAAACCTCAGAGGCTGAGCACTTGGTCATGATGGATGTGACATCTAGAGATGTCAGAAACCTCCTTAATGTCATAGCACTACCTGTGGCCTGTCGTGGTAAAAAGTCCGGGTATGGTGAACATCTGCTCCCATGCTTGGCTGGAGGATGCACTGAACTGCAGCTGCTGACACTTGCTCCCATGCACAGCTGCAGCACACCCTGAACTGCAGCTAGAGACTCACAATACCCAGTCCCAGTTTTGGCATGTGTTGATGTTCAAAACCCTAGGAGCTCTGTCCCAGACCCATTCCTGTGGGCAGGGCCAGGCCACTATCAATTATTCCCATGTTTTCTTGTCAAGGCAACTCAGAGGTTGTCGGCATTTGAGGGTGCACATGAATTTATGTGTGTGAAGGCCGGGGGACAACGTCAGGTGTGAGTCCTCAAGTGCTCTCCACCTCTCTTGTGTAGATGGTGTATTTGTGTGTGTGCAGCTGTGTGATGGTGCACTTGTGGGGTTAGAGGCCAATTCGGGATGATCCATCTCTACGGCTCTCCACTTTATTTGTTCTGACAGATCTCTGAACCTACAGTTCAGCATTTTAGGTTGGCTGGATGATCAGCAAGCACCAGGGATCTGTACTCATGTACATAAGCTTGAATAAGCAAGCACGTTACCCACTGGGCCATTTCCCTAGGCCTGCTTATCTGTCCAAGGCAGGGGCTCCCCCTGGCTTGGAACTCTCCAAGTAGACTAGACTGGCTATCCAGTGAGATCCAGGATCCTTCTGTTTTGCTTCCATAGCACTGGGATTCCAAGTGTGGGCCACCATACCCGGCCTTCTGTATGTAGGTTCTGAAGACTGAACTCAGGTCAAGTATTTGACTGACCGAGTCCCCGTCCCAGCCTGTTTTCCTGCTTTTCACGTGAGCTTTTAACATACCCCACCATGGGGGCGGGTAGAGCTCTTCCTGGAGCTGGTGGTCCTGTCCTCCACCCCCAGGAGGCTTCAGCTCCATGTTGGCTGCTTCCTTTGCTGATGGTTCCCATGAGTTCTGGGGAAAGGAGGCTCACTTTCAGACCTCCGTGATGCTCTTCCTTTGGTGGGGACAGATGACTCTGGTCTCCTTGGGCCAGAGAAAAGACCATGTGACATGGAGCTGAGCAACAAAAGGGACCTTGAGTCTGTGCCCGAGAAGGGGCACTGGGTGATGAGCCTTGCAGAGAATGGGCCGCACCCTCCCCCACCCTTCTCACCTAGCTCCTGCCTGTCCAGGGGACCACTGGAAAGGAGGAAGTTTGAAATACCAAAGTCCTGTCTCCCCCAAAATATGTTTTATTCTTGCATTACATTTGTGTTTCCAATTGTGAATAAAAAAATGGTTAGAAAGTGGTTACAAAACAGCGTGGGTGGACTAGAGGAGTGCCCTGGAGTCTGTCACTTCTTCGCCTGGATGATGGATGCAGTGTGGGCCTGGCGGAGAGGCCGGCTCAGTCGGGTTTTTCACTCTCAGGATCTAGAAAACAAAACGGCCACAGCTCACTACAGGCCTCTGAGGCACTGGCCTCTCACCCAAGGCTGGGCTCTGATGCCCGTGCACACAGCCCTGCCTAGGCACCTGGCCCCATTCCCAGGAGCTACTAAAACAAAGGCAGAATGGCGGAGCCAGAGCCAGGCCAGGCCGAGACTGTGCATTGTACAGAGTCCTGTTCTCTGCACAGAGCTTGGCTGACTGTCACCTGGGTATCTTCTTCTAAGTTAGACACTCAGCAATGACCACCTAAGCCCAGAAAGACAAGGCCTCACCCCTGTTCCGCTGGGCCATCCTGGACTGAGCTGGCCTTGAAGTCCTGGGAGACAACAATAACCTTCAGTTTTTGCTTCTGAATAGGGCCAGTGCCAAGATAAGACACAATGATACAGCTGCAGGGGTCTGAGCAGAGGTGTGAAGTCTAGTGCTGTATCTTGAGACAGCCGCCTCTGGCACAATGGACCCCATGTTGTCAGGGCCAGGTCTACAGTGCGCACACGCAAGGCTGCCCATGAAGAGTTTGCTGCAAGTCTTCTCCCGAAACTATCAACTTCCATAATGCCCTGGGCTCCCTGGAAGTCCAGTGCCTCTCACACGCCCTAGGTTGGCCCTTGACCAATTCTACTCAACAAGCCCAAGAGCCTGAAAGAGAAGCCCCACCAACCACGAAGAAGGGGTAACCAGGAGTTCCTGTGACTCATACAAACTGGGTTTTCTAGGACCTAGTGCCCGCTGTGATGGGACTGGAAATGCAGTCTGCCTTCTGAGAGATGCACCCTTTCTACCTGCACTTCCGAAAGCGATGCAGATGCAGCCTGACTTGCAGCCCAGCCACTAGCCTGCACTGCCAGGCTAGAGGTAACAGCCTGGTGACATCGGGCCTGAGCCACAGCAGCGGGTGCAGTGTGGGGAGACGGGTAACCCCACCAGAGGCTTGGCTCCTCTCTCTCAGCCCTATGAGCTCCACCCTCCAGGGAACAGCACACAAGGCTGCTGGCTCCAAGCAGAGGCCAGGCCAGGCCCACCTGGGCGACCCAGACCTATCTTTTACAAGGCCAGTCAGTTTGGCTTCGATATGAATAGAGGGCAAGAAAAAAAGCTGTCATTTCACAGTATTTTCAAGCAAACGTTTATTTTTCTCCTTCACACATACAGTCTCTTGGGGATCCCATGCCACTAGTGTTGTCATAGTAGGAAAGGACTTGGGAGCAAGAAGAGTGAGAGAAGTCAGGCTCCCTTCACTAAGAAGCGGGCCCGGGTGGTTTTCGGACCAGACGCAGAGAACAGAAATCTCTTATTGCATTGTTGTGGCCTGGCAGAAGACTCTGCTCAGCCCCCTGAAAATTCAATTCTAACGGAATTGATGGAATAGTGTATTTAAACCAAAACAATTTAGCTGGTTCTCATGAGTACAGCTTAACTGTACAGTTCACAGCAGGGTCACCCCAGGCAGCCCACCCTCCAACTGGAGGCATAAAACATTTGCCCAGAGGGAGTCAGGGGGCTTTCATCGCCCCCCAGGACAAGTGTCATGGAAACCTCCAGAAATACTCCACCCCTCAGTAGGCAGGCCTGAGGATAGCCTGGAGAGGAATTTGCAGGGTAGGGTGGGCAGAGCACAGGCCTCTGCGGAAACCATGGAAAAGGAAGAGAGTGGGGACCCCTGAGCTGAATGGTGGTGTTTGTCTGTATGGTGCTCATAACAGCCTGCTGGCTACCAGGGCATTCACCCGTGTGTTTCTTGGCAGGATCCTCTCGGCTCAACAAAGCTGCTGACATTCCTCCCAGGGAGAATAACTTCAGGCGGGTCCTGTGGCTCTGTTATTGAACATGACCAGGGTGACCTCACTCTATCCAGGGCTGAGATAGGCTCATCCAGCATTGGCAGGTCATATTGTTAATGTTCACTTTCGTTTCTGTTTTTAAGAAGGTGTTTACCACTACAACTATCAGCTTCATATCAGCACCCCATTCCCATCTCTGCAACATCGGACAGTGGAGACAGCAATGGACATGTTAACCGTAATGAAATCCACCTTGGCTGATCAATGGCCTTTTAAAACATGTCTTTCCAACAGGAAACAGAAAAGCTGGAATTCAAGGCACTGGGCTGCTGCAGGGGGATGACGAGGTTCTAATCCTCAACCAAGGACAGGCAGTGGATGTGAAGCCTGCCTGTGTAAGACTGTAGGGACCTAAGAGTGGTGGGGTCTGAGGCAGCAGGGAAAGCGTCTTGCTGCCCTCTCCTGCCCCCTTGGCTGGGGCTCTGTGCCCTGGGCCCATGTGGAGGAGCCATGAGGAGGCCACACCACAACCGGGTTCTTCCACACGATTCAGAGTGCTCCATCTGGCCAGGGCAGGGCAGAGGGCTACGTGATGTGCAGCCGGGGGCCTGGCGTGCTGATAACAGGTGGCCGCAGGAACACTGGCAGCACAGGGACCTTAGTGGGGCTCTGACTGCCCCAAGACCCCTGTGGGTCCTCTGAGGCCACCCAGGGCCCCCAGGACACAGGAACAGGGAGCAGGCCTCCATACTGACTCAGAGGCAGTGCACAGGGAGGGCCTGAGAGGCTGGAGTGGACAGTACCTGGTATGGGCACAGGCAGGGCTGGGGTGGCTCCAGGAATGGCTGTGGTGGACAGAGGGCCAGGTGCCGGGGCCAAACACGGTGTCCTCACTCCTGCTGGAGGCACAGTTGTCTGTGAGACACAGAGACAAAGAGGAAGGAAGGCACAGGGGGCCGCAGTCAGTCGGTCTCCTCGTGTAGTCCAAGTGCTGGTATGGGAAGCAGCTGCCCGCCCGCCCTCCCTCCCTCCCCGGCTCGCTACGCTGAGGTCTAAGCACCTGTCTGTGGGCCATAAGCTCCAGCGGTCCAAAGCCAGAGCGGGCTGGGCGCAGAACCTGCGGGGTGTGGAAGGGTACACGAGTGACTCACACACTTCCACCCAGCCGACACCACGGCATCTGGTTTGGTGGCCTGGTCACAGTTTGCACCTACAGGAGGCCCAGGAGGCCTGTGGGAGGAGGAACTCTGGGGCAGCCCCCTGTGCTCTCAGCCAAGCACAGTGGCCTTAGAAGCAGGGAAAGGAGCAGCTGATGGCTTCCAGAGCCAGCACCTCTGATGACAGGACTGGACATGACTACAGCGAGAGATCAAGGACCGGCAGCCTGCAGCATCCAAACAAAACAGCTGGGAAACCGAAGACAGTGACCATAAAAGGTTTAACATCACAGTCCAGTGGGCTCTGGTGCCTCAGAGACAACCCACCTCACTCCAGGAGAAGGAACACTGGAAGGGCTGGGCTGGGGTTCCCAGGTGAGCACTTGCCTAGTACATACGAGGCCCTGGCTTCTAGCCTCTGGACCATAAACACACACAGGGAAGGATGGAGACTCGCCAGCCCCCACACCATTTACAGAAGGCACACTCGGCAGTGAAGGTCTCCACAGAGCCAGCAGTCGTACCTGCAGAGGGAGCAACGTTAGGTGCTCCCCAAGGCTCCTTCATGCTTCCGGTCAACACTGTGAGGGGACCCAGTCAAGGTGAGACAAGAAAAGAAAAACTGCCTATCTGCAGATGACAACACTGTATGTAGAGAAACCCACAGGAAAGGACTTCGCAGGACCACAGGCTTCTAGGCACCAGAATTGGTCACATTTCCACACACCAGAAAATTTCAGGACTGCACAGTTTATGACAGCACTCCCAATCATCAACCACCTGGGGATGGATTCGATGAGTGACATGAACACCCTACAAAGATGTAAAGAGACAGACTCCAAGTTCATGGAACACTCAAGACTGGTCATACAGTAAGCCTGTCCAGTTCACTGACAGATGTAATCCACTGCCAAGAGAAACTCCAGTGGGCCATCTAGGACCTGCCAACATTTAGGACCCAGAAAAACCAAGAGATTCTTGAAGTTCAACAGCGGATGAATAATAGATAATTTTATGACGAAGCTGCACGAGGCGATGAGGAGAGTGCTGTTTCATGCAGTTCAGACTGGAAAGGAAGGTATCACTGCAGTGAGTAGATAAGCTATGGTGTATACAACAGCTAAAGCAGCAAAACTTTCAGAAAAAACAAACTAAATGCCTTCCATTTTATGCTCACCACTAAGAAAGTAATGGAGAGGGCTGGGGATCTGTAAGAGTTCCTGTGAGGGGGCTGGAGAGATGGCTCAGCAGTTAAGAGCACTGGCTGTTCTTCCAGAGGACCCAGGTTCAATTCCCAGCACCCACATGGTGGCTCACAGCTGTCTGTAACTCCAGTTCCAGGGGATCTGACATGCTTACACCAATGCACATAAAAAAAAAAAAAAAAAAAAAAAAAAAAGAGTTCCCGAGAGGAGCCTCCTGAGCTCAGACTCCCAGCACCTGCAGCCTGGTATGGTGGCATGTGTCTGTAACCACAGCACTGGGGAGGGGCGGAGACGGGTAGAGGCCTGGAGCTCACTGGCTAGGCAGTCTGGCTGTTTGGTGAGCACCAGGCTCAGTGACAGAAAAACCCTGCCTCAAAAAAGGGAAGGGAGGGAGGGAGGGACAGAGAAGACATGAGATGTTGATGTTTGGCTTCATAAACATGCCCACACATAAACGTGTGCACACATACACTACACTATACTGTACTACTCACACACATACATACATACACAGAGACAGAGGGGACACACTTTGGTAGAATATATATGTAATATAAGACAAAACAGATATAACAGACTTCCATAAATCAATAGGAAAAAGATAGATGACTCAGTTTTTAAATGGTTAATAATCTTGACCAGGCACTCTATAGAAGATGCCTGTTAAAAATAAGAACATGCGCCGGTCAGTGGTGGCACATGCCTTTAATCTCAGCACTCGGGAGGCAGGGGCAGACAGATCTCTGTGTGTTCAAGACCAGCCTGGTCTACAGAGCAAGTTCCAGGACAGGCTCCAAAGCTACACAGAGAAACCCTGTCTTGAAAAACCAAAATAAATAAATAAAAAATAAAAACAAAAAAGAACATGTGCTCAAAGGCAAATCAAGACAATAAAGAGTCTAGATCTCAAATTATTTTTACAAACAATTTTTTCCAACACAATGTCCTTCACATAATATTAAAACCTCACAAGGAGAGACAAGGAACTAAGGAGCCAAGCTGTGGGGAAAAGAAACCAGGAAGACAGGAAGTACTGTGGAAATAGGTTGCACCACTGAGACATTTGGCTGAGAACTGTAAACTTTTTGTAATTATTGAATTTTATTTATGGGCATGTGTGTGTGTGTCTTCGTGTGTGTCTGTGCAGGTGTCTATGAGGGAGAAGAGGCCCTGGATGCTCTGCTGGAGCTGGAGCTGCAGCAGTAGTGAGCCTTGAGACACAGGAGCTGGGAACTCAGCTTGAGTGCTCTGCAGGAGTTAGAAAGGCTGGAACTGGTGGCCTAGCCAACGTAAGACGTTTTTCTTTCCTTTAGTGCTGGGGGCCAACCCGGGGTCCTCACTAACACTCGGCTAACACTCCGCCACCCACTCACAGTCAAACCTAAGAATCTTTCTAGAGAACGTTAAGCCAGAAAGAGAAATAGAAAGAGTTAAAAAATGAATGAAATAGATAACAAAGGATATCAAAGATAATATATAGGTTTTTAAAATGGCTCATGAAATTACCAAAGCCTTAAGATGGCAGGAAGGGAAGGAAGGACAGACACACAGAGAGAAGTGGGGAGGCATACATCACCAACACCAGGAACCACACACGACTTGGGATCACGCAGACAGAAACAAGAGGCATCGCAGTATCAAATGGCAACTGACTGGAAAGTTCAGGCGAATTTAGGGACAAAGTAGCAATTACCATGGAAGCAGAATTTAACAAGACTGTCAAGACAGAACACCCAAACGGTGTCAGGACTGGAGAAGAAACCTTCCCCGAGAGAGGGATAGCTGTGTGATGAGTTCTGACAGCGTCACCTACTGTAGGCGGTGGCATGCGATGCTCACCACAGGCTTCCAATTGCCCTGTGTGTTTGGAAAGATCCAAAGCCTAAGTTCACAGAGGGATGTTTTCCACACAAAAACAACACCCACAAGATGTTCAGCCCAGATGGATTCACCCATGAACTTCATGAATCATTTAAAGTAGAAGTAACAGCCATCTTCCACAATTTCTCCAGAAAGCTGGAAAAGTGGGGACACTCCGCCAGCTAGCTCTCCAAAATCGTGTGCCAAGACCTTCGAGGGTGGCTACTGGCCCGGCCCCATGTTGGTCCCAGTTGGATACAGCTGCCACTCAGGAGTGAGGAGTAGACCTGCCCTTTCTACAGCCTGGAGACAAACGGATGCAATGCAGACGGAGGTGCGTCTGTCCACAATGAGGGTGTGTTTCCTACCTGGGGCTGTCTAACCCAAGGATTCTGCTGTATCTGAGTTCTAGAGTCACAGGCTCAGCCTGTCCCCTGCTGGCCACAAGGACCATAGGAAGTCACTTTTACCTCCCAGTCATCACAGGGACCAAGGCCTAATATTTTGTTGTTATTTTGGTTGTTTTTTGAGACAGGGTTTCTCTGCATAGCCCCGGTTGTCCTGAAACTCACTCTGTAGACCAGGCTGACCTAGAACTCAGCGATCTGCCTGCTTCTGCCTCACGAGTGCTGGGATTAAGGGTGTGAGCCACCACCACCCAGCAAGACCTAATTCTTTTGGAGAAGAAGGACCTTGATCACGAAAGCCAAGTACTTAGCATGACGGCCATCTGGCACACGGGATTCCGGCAATAGCTCACAGCCACAGCCACAGCCACTGTGCCTACCATACCCCTCCCAGGAGAGCCTGTGCCCACGTTCACTCACAGCCCGCGCCTCGCCAGAGGCCTCCATGTCATGCAGCTTCTGCGTCTGCTTCAGCTGGTTGAGTGTGGGCTTCAGTTGCGCGGCGCCCACCGTCTTGGTTGTCCACTCGTCCACGAGCTTGTGCAGGTCATCCGTGAAGGTGCCTTTCTTATTGTTGCTGTTGTTCACCTGTGCCTGGACGTGCAGGGTGGGCTGGGGACCTGGCTCAGGGCCTGGGGCCAGGCTGCTGGTGGAAGACCCTAGGGAGTCATATAGGCCAGGATTGGTGACGCCACACACTCACTCAGCACCACTGACAGGCTGGCTGCAGTCATTCTCACACAATGGCTGGGACAATCAATGGCCTCACTCTGGCCAAGCAACACCTTGCTTCAAGAGGTGGTCTGCATCAGTGGGCCTTGCTGCCCAGCGTTAGACACCATGAGGCACCGTGCAGGCTACGGGTGGCGGAGCTGTACCAGGCAGCCTCACTTGTTTCTTAAGCCAGGCCGGGGGGAAAAAGACCTTGAGCACCCAGCAGTCTCCATTCAGAGTCCAGCACAGACCCCCCACTGCATACTCTGCCAGACTCACACATGTGAGAGCACTGGGAATTCATGGCACAGCCAGATACACGTGGGCACTGGCATCCCAGGGACAGGGTCAGAGTCTCAGGGCACTCTCTGGCCTACTTTGCAGAATGCTCAGCACGAGTGTGCCACCACCAGCCTTCCGGCACCCCCTGGGCAGACTGTTCACTGTGTTCCCGTGTATTTTAGTTGCTTAGTAGTTTGGAACTCAAGACAAGGAAATGGTGCCTTTCCTTAGCCAAGCATTTGGAAAGGTGGTCATGAAAGATACCACACCTAGAGTCCCTCGGGTGGGCTCCACACCCTCCACTCCACAGCTGGGTGATTCTGGGAGGCAGGGAGCCAGGAGTCGCTCTGCAGACTAGAGAGCTTGGCTGCTTCTGTGAGAGGCTGTTTTTATGGCCAACAGAAGTCTTACTGAATTGCCTCCTCTGCTCCTCCCTTACCCATGCACGGAATCCCACCTAGCAATTTTGAATAAGCCAATTTAAAATGTGTATACACCTCACCAAAAAACCCAAACAGCTAATGACCATCTCTTCAAACAAGCTGTTCCAAAATGTGGTGAACTTTAGTGGCCAGCAATGGGAAAGCAGAAACAAAGGATGACACATTAGTGATGAGACTCAACACACAGCTATTGCTACATGAGGTTCTCAGCCAGAAACAAAAAAAAAAAAAAGAGGAAGGGGGTTAAAAAATTAAAAAGACAAGAAAGAGCAAAGGGGGTGTGTGTGAGTGGCCCAGGTCAACTAACACCCATCCAGTCTTGGTATCTCTCCTCAGGAAGCACTCATCGTCAACACTTCCGAGAAACACTGATGCCTAAGGTTTTGGAAAGGAACCCAATTAATAAACGGTGGTCATATGTGGACACTGTGGAGAAGGATGGGCCTATTAAGAGGTGGCTGGACAGACGGCACAAACTCTAGGAACCATGGAGACACAAAGAGGAGCTGGGAGGGAGCAGCTATCCAGACAGGCAGAAGCGAAACAGAGCCCTGCGGGTCAGGGGCAGAGCAGGCCACACTTCCGTGGGAGGCCCTGATGCGCACTAGCCATGACAAAGCTCATGCGGTGAGAGGTGACAAAGGGGTTAAAACAAAAAACCCGGATAATTACTACTGCTGTGTTCTTTGCCTAGGCAGAGACGCTTCAGGGCTGACCCTGTAAGGAAGAACAAAGGACACAAGACCACAGGGTTAGGCAGAACAGCACACGCCGGTCACACTACCACATGTAAGCAAAAGTCATCAGTGTGCAGGGAGGGACAGACACAGGCAGCAGTCGGAGAGGGGGGCCAGCCTGGCCTGGGAGAACGGGGTGGCTTCCCCAGAGTTCGTGTGCAGGCTCTCACGGCCTTTGCTGAGGAGGTAGAGGTGCCAGGGCAAGCCTCCAAGATTCAGGGAGAAGTGTTTTGTCACTAAAAGCATATTCCAGAAAAAGAGAAAGAAAAAACAGAAAAATAAACCAAAAATTGACAAAGCACACTGCTTGGGTTTCGAACACCAGGCCTTTGGGAGCCCCACTGGTTGAGGCAGGGAAACCCACTGAGAGTCAGCCACGGGGTCCCTGAAAGGAGCCAGGCTCAGCCTGGGCTGGCCACCAAGGCTACCAGAGGTTTTCCAAGTGCAAAAAGATACATTGTTTTGCAGGTCTGAGGCCAAATCTGGATCCCAGATGGCTGCCTTGGACCAGGTCAGACAAGGGCATCCAGCAGGGATATTAGAGTCTGTCTTGGGGTTTATAGGGATTTGGGGAGACACCATGCCTCTTTTCTACCAGTTCACTTTCCCCAGGAGAATGGGAAACATCCTTACTAGACCACCACCCAAGGCAGCTTTAGCCCCATTGTCTTGAGTCTGTCTGGGGTCAGGTGGGCAACACACAGAACGTGACATCTAGCCGAGTATAGAAGGGTGGAGTAACCCTAACCCAGGACCAGCCTGGGCTACAGTGTGTGCTGCTATTCTATCTTAACCTACGGCCACTCTGGGGGCTACAACTGGCGAGGAAGAGCTCAGACTTCCCCAAGGTCAAAGCCACACTAGCACAGCAGGTCTGTATTTCAGCCCCTAGCTCCCCCTGTCCTAAACACATGCCCCACGAAGGGGGTGCTCTCACATACAGCACTGGCTCATGAGTTAGCTAGTCTAGAGGTCTGGGAAATCTGAACACTCACAACTTTTCTAGAAGGGCTGGTACTCTTGCCCGAGGGATAGGATAGCGCATAAATGCTGGCCACACCCTGGCCAGAGCTCAGGCCAGGCGGTGTGTACTGGACCTGAAGCACAGATGCAATGGACCTCCTAATTTTAGTTCATTCTGTATGGTTTCTAAGGCTACATGGGGAAATGGGGTGTTTGTTGAGCAATTCAATTTTCAAATGGAAAGAGGGGAGATAAACAGGAGGGATCTGGAAGATACTATGTGTTGGGGGAGGAAATCTCAGTCTACTTTTGGAGGAAAAGGGGCTAGGGATTTGGGACTCAGTCCTGGCTATTGTCACACTGGGTAGAATGCCAGATGGACTATTGTGGCTGGCCTTCCTGGATTCTAGACTCAGGTGACCATGCATCAGCTCCCATCTTCCATGTCCCTCCTGGACTGGCTACAGATGACCAGAGTAGAGAGTGCCAGCTTCTGGACAAATGAGCCAGTGTTTGTCATTTTATGTCAACACTAGGGCTACACTGCTCTCTGGCAGGACACGGTGCAAAGTCTCAGGGGAGCATCCAGGACTCCATGTTGACAGTCCTGCACTTCCCTAGATGGCTCCCAATATACCATAAACAGGTCTCTACCTGGGGCATCTGATGAACAGGCTCGGCCCCGATCTCTACGGTGCCAGGAGAGGTTCTTACAAAGCTCCTGCTACTCAGGATAGTACTAGGTGAGTAGATCAAGCCAGCCAGAGGCAGGATGGTTTCAACCAGTCCCAGCCAGGTCTCCTTGGATATTCCACTTGTCTCTGCAGTGAGGTGAGGTCTCTGCATAACGCTTTGGTTCAAATCACGAACCACTTGTGGGTTGACAGCACATCCTCTTCAGAATTCCACAGCTACCACCCTCAGACTGTGGCTGGCAACAAGGACTTCTCAAGCATGGCAGACAGAAAGCTCAGGAGGAAAGACTAGGACACACACTTAAAGGAGGGGCTCCAGCCTGGAGCAGACCCTCACATCTCTTCTCTGCATCTCAGCATTCAAATATTGATGAGGTTCACAGGAACAGACCTCCTCAGGGAGTCAGCCCTCCTAGTACCAGGTAGCACCCGCCCAGTGTCCCCTTTAGTCAGCCCAGGTAGCTCAGCTTCTTCCCTATCCCAACCTCCCATAGGCCAGCTCTAACTATAGACCACTAGCCCCACCCACCCCTACCTCCGCACAATCCTGATGTCAAAGGCCAAAATACCCCCAGAGCTGTTTCTATATTGAACAATCCTATTCTCAAGTGGAGACAATTACTACAAACTACCCGTGAAGCATCCGTTCAGAAACAAGCTATCTTGGTTCAGTCCGATGTGGCAGGGGCATTTTTACTTGGCCTTGAGCTGTATAGCACTGGGTCTTACAGAGCCTGGAGCTAAGGCAATCCTCAGGGGTAAGCCTCGAGTGTGCAAGGGGTCTCCTGTGTGCCTTGTTGGGGGGCCTCACTGGACTCTCTCACCACCAGCACGAGATACGAACACGACAGAGAAGAGGGCTGGGAAGGCTTCTGAGGATCCCTGCACCAGATCTGAGGCAACTGAGAACAGGATGAGGTGACAACACACTGTGAGACCTCACGCTTCCTGTGGCACAGCGAGAAACAAGAGGCGCCCATGCCTGCCTGAGCATGGGAAGGACACAAAAGAAGTGTCTCAGTAGGCTGTACCCATAGTTTGTCACCAACAGACACCCACGTACAGCCTTGGGTTCTGACTTGGACCTCTCCTCCTCAGTTCCATGGCCACTGTATTTTAGGATAAGTATGGTGGACTGAATGCCACTGTCTACCAGAGAGGGACATGCAAGTGAGTTGTTGGGTCTGTGCCAGGACCCTGCCCAGGCTGGGAGAAGGGAACTTATATAGGGTCCACACTCACAGGAGGCCTATGGTAGTATGAATAAGAATGGCCCCTATAGGATCATATATTTGAATGCTTAGTCATCAGGGAATGGCACTACTTGAGAAGGATTAGGAGGTGTGGCCTTGTTGGAGGAAATGTGTCACTGGGGATGGGTTTTGAAATTTCAAAAGCCCAAGCCGGGCCCAGTGTCTCAATCTCTTCCTGCTGCCTGTGGATCCAGATACAGAACTCTCAGCTACTTCTCCAGCACCATGTCTGCCTGCATGCCGCCATGCTCCCCACCATGATGATAACGGACTAAACCTCTGAAACTATAAGCAAGCCCTCAATTAAGTGCTTTCTTTTATAAGAGTCGCTGTGGTTAATGGTGTCTCTTCACAGCAATAGAACTCTAAGACAAGGCTTTTCCACCCACAGCCCATCTCCACCTGTCGCTTGTCTCATGTCCAGCTCTGTGTCTGGAGATCTCTGATGCTCTGCCTGACTCCACCAGAGATGGTCCTCCAGCCCACCCAGTGACTTGAGCTCAACCTGCCCTTCTGGGGCTTTTTTCCCCCTTCGCTGGGCTTCATGGAAGCCCAGATATTTTTATACTCAAAGTTTAAAGAATATTTTCTCACAGCCTTCTGTCTCTAGGAAGTAGGGGTGTCACACACCAAAGACATGAATTGATACTAAGCTTGATCAAGGTCACCCCTGATCACACAACTTCACAGAGGCAGGCATACTCTAGCATCTTGTAGCCACCTGCACGCTCTGCACGCTCTGCACGCTCTGCACACTCTGCCCCCAAAGCCCTTCTCTTCTCTCAGCCTCTTGACCAGGCTCATCCTTCCATCATTTGCCCTTTCACGCTCAGGAAGCACTGACCCCCACCCCCACCCCCAATGCTCAGTTCTCACAGGCCCCACATCTTCTCTTGAGGACGCAGTTTACACAGAAACCAGCACACAGACATACAAATGGACGTCTCGATGAGAAGCCTAGCTCCCTAAAGCTCAGAGACCAGCAGCATGCAGGATAAAAGGGCCTTTTGGGGCTTCATTTCCCCAGAGTGAGCTGGCCCAAGACTCTCCCTACCTACTCTATACCACAGTGAGAGGAGCCAGAGTAGGGTTCACCTAAGCTCTGCCCGGCAGCTACTTGAGAACATGTAGGGGTCACAGAATGCTGAGCCAGTCCAGCCTGCCTTGATAGGTCAGGCTGTGAACCAGCAAGCAATCCATGTGCAAGCAGTACCACACCTCAAACTACTTGGCCAAGCCTGCTCAGATGGTCCTTCCTTCTGGCCCCCTCCCCCCACTGTTTTTTGTTTGTTTGTTTTAAATCTCAGGCCAGTAACTCACAGCAAAACCAACAGACACCGTTATGAACAAGACCTGAAATAGAGAAGTTGCTCTCAGAGACATGACTGTGATCACTGTGACAAACTGCCATGCACTCTGGCCTGGGGACAGGACATACCCAGAGTTCCAAGTGCTGTCACACCTAGTGATCATCCTCATGTGAGTTGTGTGCCCACCAGGCACAGCCAGGAAAGGCATCAGGCAAGCAGGGGCCAGAAGGAGGCTGGTGGATGGGAACAGACTCGGCTCGCTGCAAAGATACGAGGGTCGCACAAAGGGGGCCCTCCTAGCCCTTCTCATACCCAACTCAGTAACTGACCGGAAGCTAGAGAGACGCAATGCAAGCCAGATGTCACTGTGCCCCAAGTGGGCAGACTACTGAACAGACAAGAAGATGCTGGGAAGCCCCTGGCACTTCCACCTAGCCATGTGCCCTTGATCCATCCACCTGTAGAAGGATGACCCACCGTGGGCCTCTGATGCAGGGAGTAGGGAATGGCAATGGTCACCTACCACAGACATGGTCTCTGGGTCCCCACAAGCACAATGTATCTTTATTGTACAAGCAAAAAGTCATGTGCCCCAAACCAGCATCTCCAATCCAATTGTCAAAAAACTCTTTTTTTTTTTTCAGTTAAAAAGACAAAAACCTAAAAGCTCCACAACTTTGGATTGATTTGCCAATCATTGTGAGGATTAAAAACAAATCACACCAGGGTGAGTTGGTCCCAGCAGGTGAGCATTCGTGGGCACTAGAAACATGTCCCAGGGTGTGTGAGGGAGGCTGGCGCTGGGGTTGAGTCTGGTAGAAGTTGGAGGAACTGCCTCGCTGGCTTCATCCCTCACGTCACATGAGTCAGCTCAAGACTTACGGAGCAGAGTGCTCCAGCTGGGCGGGAAAGAACAGGGACCCAGGCAGGAAGCAGGCTCCTATGCAAGAGCTACGAGGAATGGGGCACGTATCTAGTCATCGTTTTGAGTGAGTAAGGAGGTAAGGAGGGGAAGGAGAGATGGCAGAGGGGACTAGCCCTCCCTGCATGGTGGGGTAGAGGGCCAGGAAGCCCTAGCTGGAGCAAGCTCTTTGTTTTGAAGTTCAAGGGATGGGACTTGGGGCCTTTCTTTTGCATGCTAGGCAAGTGCTGTGCCACTGATGTATACCCCCGACACCCCTGAAGCATATTCTTAGCATCTCCACATGCAGGGAATGGGAGAGAGGGTGGAGATGGGGCTGGGTGCTTGGCTTTGGCCCTACACAGAAGTCACACCCTCCAGGGACATTGGGGCTGTTATCAGTCTGCTACATGCATGTTGTGGGAGTCCAGGTACGTGTGTAACACACTGGGTATCTGGAGAAGGTTGGGGTTGTCTTTTTGTTGTCATTGAAACTGGGAGACAGCAGACATGTATACTGGCCACAATTGCAACAGAAAAGAAAACTACGTCCAACATCCAAAGAAAAGAAGAGAAATGAGGTGATGGTAAGGGTGCAGAATGCCCTGGCATACGTGGGGTGGAGGGGCCATGGAAGAGGTAGGGATGCTGTTGCGCATGATTTTGGTGCCTGGGCACAACCAAGAGCATGCACACAGCTGTCTGTAGCTGGGTGACTGTGGACACTGTGTGCAGTGGGGAAGGCTTGTGGGGTCCACCTTTTGACATGGAGGAGGTGACTTCAAGGGGTTGGAGTGGCATCCTATGAAATGTATGAGAGGTAATGAAGACAGGGCAGGGAGGGGAGAAACCAAGGGCCAGGAGGTGGGAAAATACAAAAGAACAAATACAGACAGATGGACACAGATACGGGTCCACTGAGGAATCGAGCACGAGGCTTGCTACTAGACTTATAGGCCCCTCTCTCAGACGTTGGGTGGTAAACCGTCCAGCCTGCAAATGAATATAAAGGGAAGAAAACAGAGAGACACTTATCAAGTACAGGTTGCTGCGATTCCTCCTCCTCCACACCAACAGCCACACCAGCCTCGTAACTTAACATCCACGGCTCCATCTAGCCCAGCCCAAGCACCAAAGCCACTGACCACAGAATGGGAGGAGGCAACAGTAGGAACAGAAGAGAAGCGGCCCGGAGGAGGATGGGTGGGGCAGGTGGGGCACCTTTATTCGTCACCATGATTTCTCTGGACAGAGATGGTGAGGACACGAAAGCGCCTTATCGAGCAGCTGCTGCCGTCCACGGCAGTGATGAGCAGACATCCCAGCCTGAGAGCTGAGCCCTTGTCCCCTAGCCGTCCCGTGGACTTTGGAAGGACCCGGTGTTTACCACCATCTGGCTCTGCTGTGGGAAGCGGGCAGGGCAGGGCAGCCAGGGCCTAGGAACGGGCATCGCAGAACACAGCAAGATGCCAGGCCCCGTTCCCTCCCCAGTCATCGGGCTGATCCCTCCTGGTCCCGGCCACTTCCTGAGGTCCACCTTAGCAAACCCATCACCTGCCTCTGAGCCGCTTACATGGCGGGACAATTCCATTCTTTGTCTCCAAAGACTACACCTTTACGTTCTTGTCCTTTTTTTTTCTGTTTGTTTTTATAAAGCTGCTTAGCAGCCTTGGCTGTAGCTCTGGCCCCCTCTACACACACAGGCGTGCTCCCGGGACACCACTGAGGCCCTATGTGGCTGGCACATGCTTGGAGACAGGCAAGCTGGAAATCACCTTGGCCACGCGCTCCGCCTCCATCACTGGCTAAACCGGAGCAGATGTCTGTGGACAGGGAGGCCCGGACGGAGCAGGGCTGCTGGGTCTGAACTGCCTTGGTGCCCGGGGGCGTGCTGGCGTGGGCAGGGTCCTTAGTGGGAGGGCCTCTGCTGGAGTCAGACAAATGACCTGGGCGAGGGGGGGAGAAGAGGTGACAGGCACCATGAGGCGCCAATGGGCAGGGAAGGGTGTGGCTGGGTTGGCCTCCTACTCTCTGCTAGCTGACCTTGAGGAAGTTGAGTCTCCTTAAGAAAACCAGTACAGACAAGATTCTGGTCTACAGTGCTGGGGCCAATCAAAGAAAGTGTCCCCCTTTACTAAATCCCAGTGGCATGCCAGACCTATGCTGTGCAAGTAAGTGGCAGGTGTGGACGTGGGCTCAGAGCAGCCTTCCTGTGAGGAGTCACTGCGGAGTCTCCCTTAACTTTAGCATCGGCACTGGGTTTCCACCGCTTGTGCAGGTGGCTGACAGTTAGGGAGTGCCTGAGCAGGTAATTCACTAATGCCTCCCCATTGGTCACATTTGGAGACTGGGGCTATGTGCTCCCCGCTCAGAGCGCACCCTGCAGCACAGCTCTAAGCCTCAAAGGTACCCCGGCATGCAAAGAGTGCTGACTGGTGCCTGGCCCCTGCAGCACCAGGGACTGGGTACCACGACTGCCAGGCCTGGAGAATAACCCATGCTCTCCCTGCCGCCCACAAAGGCAGCCACCTGACACCCAGTGAGCAGGAGCTACTGCGTGCCTGGGTGACAGGGCCAGAGGAAGCCGTTACTTCTATCCATCCCAGTGCCTTGGGGCTTCCTAGGTGCAATGTGGCCCAGGAGTGGCTCCTTCCTTCCACATGGGGCTAAGGCCTGGCTCCGAGCAGCCCTTATTCTCACACAGGCCTTTCTGTCTGGCACTAGTGTGGAGGCCTGAGGTTTCTCTGGGCTTGCAGAGACTCTCAGCGCCAGCAAAAGGAGGTCCAGGAAAAAGAAAACCCCACACACTCTTGCAGGTTTGGAGATGCTGCAGCAAGTCAGCGCTAGCCTCTCAGGCTAACTTGGGGTCCCCCCCCCCAGTACCCTCCCTGCTCAGCCCAGGTACAGCCCTCCCCCAGAAGCAGCAGACCTGTGCTGGAGGCCACGACCTTGAGCTGCTGCACCAGAGGGTTCAGCAGCTTGCCAGCCTTCAGTTTGCTCTTGCTGGTTTTTCTCCTGCGGCCCATGGGAGGTGCCGTGTGGAAGAACCCCACGTTGGGGGGGAGTGGCTTGCCCAAGCGGCGGTACAGGGCTTCAATCTCCTGCTTCTGTTGGCTCTGTAGCTCAGAGATTTCCTTCAGGTGCCTGGAGCAGAAGAGAGGAGGCAGGGTGGGTGGGCAAGGCTGGGCTGTGTGGGTCAGGGGATGCCTCCTGTCTGCAGGCTTTCAACGGCACTATCTCAGCCAGGTGAGAACCAGGTGAAGGACATGGTTTTCAGACATCTGGAATCATGACTACAAAATTGTCTCAATAGCCAAGGAAGCAAACATTATTCCTCACCCATACTTCTGCTTGCAATTGAAACCCTAGGTTTCAGAGCAGACGAGTAAACTAGTAGATGCCTGGAACCAAAACTACCTTCCTTTCTCTCTCTTTCTTTCTTAGTCTCCTGTACCCAAGGCTGGCCTCAGATGTGCTATGTAACCAAAGACAAGCTTGGACTCCTGATTCTCCTGCCTCTCCCTCCTAGGCGCTTGGATTATAGGTGTGTGGCACCATGCACAGCTGGCCTACCTCTGTTTATTAGGGCTAGGTGTGTTATTTCCTCCATGCAAGGCAACTGAGGAGAGGTAGAGAAGGGGCAGTACCATGTGAGACTTGCGGTCGGTGTATAGTTCCACTGGGTCCAGCCTGGAGGGCTGCAGTGCTGGCTAGGATGCAGGTGAAGGCAGGGAGACTGCTGGTGTGAGCAGTCTCCAGGACAGCTCGAGGGAAGGATGCAGTGGCCCCCGCTGGGCCCGATGGTCTCACTTGCCACCTCCCTGCTATTCTTCTGAGGTGGTAGGTGCTGAACTTCACTGCGCTTAGGAGGCCTGGTTACCACCCCAACACGGGACCTAGACTATTTCTTCCACCTCTTGTGTTGGGGACACAGGTGGTTTTCACAGTTGAAAGTGAGAAGTTCTAACCTCTCTCCTATATGTTCAGTGATGCCCAATCTTGTGTTTTAAGACAGGGTTTTTCTGTGTACTCCTGGCTGGCCTGGGGCTCAACATGCAGCCTAGGCTAGGCTTGAACTGGCAGCCATCCTCCTAGCTCTGCCTCCAGAGCACTGGAATTGTAGGAGAGGTGCTAAACCAAGCTCTCTAATTTTTTAAAAAAGACTTTAGCTAAAAAAACCAAACAAACAAAAACAACAACAAAACACCCCACGCATAAATAAAAATAAAATATCAAAATACGCAGTCAGTAAAATGCCTGCCATGCAAACATGAGGACATGTGTGTGGGTGGCTGGCTCACCTGTAATACCAGCACTGGGGAGGCTGAGGCAGGAGGATTCCCATGGCTTGCTGGCCAGGCAGTCCAAACAAATGTGTGAAATGCTAAGGTGGGAAGTGATCGAGACACCTGATTTTGACCTCTCTGAGCTCTTCCTTTGCATACACAAAGAAAGGTGTGTGTGCAAACCTGCACACTGACACATACTAGTGTGCACACACACATGAACATTACCACACAAAAACCAATCAATAAACACCCAGTGGAAGTGATTTCCTCCCTGCAGATGCACAGCCAGTCAGCAGTTTCCAGGGGATGCTGGCTGCCTGTGGGGTTGCTTGTGTCAGTGGACGTGACCCCTTCTTCAGGATTCTGAGCACAGATCTGTTCTGAGGCTCAGGTGGTGTCCATTCCTCCACTTTCTCACCTCCACAGACGTTCCACTATGGTCACTTGGGACTACCTTGCCAAGAGCCCCAAGACTGGCAGTCTTCATGCCCTGCCCTCCACACAATCTTGCAGAAACGTTGCAGTCTAACTGTCTCCTCCTCTCAGGGTACCTGTAGTTCCCGAGCTCATTCAGACAGCTGCAACAAACCTCTGCTCCTCAGCCACGGGTGGGGTCTCATGGGCCACACCACGGGAGATCCCCCATTAAATTCCACCCTCCCGCCCCAAAGGGCAGCTTATGGTGCTAGTGATCCCTGACCACAGAGGGGCAGAATGAGTACTTTCTGGGTGAGAGGCAAGCAGAGAGAAACAGTGTCAGAGTCATCCTGGGACAGGGAGAGACAGGCAGATCAATAGTGAGGGAAGGAGGGGAGGAAGGAAAGGCTGAAGAAGGTATAGATCTCCTGACCCCTAGCATGTCCTCCCAGAGGTAACAGAGGAAGGAGGGGTGATATGCCTGCCACCCAGGGGAGCCAGAAATCATGCAGGTGGCAGAGAGTGGTTGGCCCAGTGCAAAGATATCCTAGACGGGGCCTCTTTCCTCAGTTTGGAGGGTAGAAGTAAAAAGGTCTCTTCACTGTCCCATTGCTCGGATTAACAGCCACCAGTGGGCACTTCACGGCCAGAACGTAAACTCCATCCAGCATTTCTCACCAGGCCCAGCTAGGCCCCAACCATGTTGGCCTGTGGCCGCCAACCCCTCCAGATGCTGGTTGGGTGAGCTCCACTCTGGCCAGATGAGCCTTGCCCCCGATAATGGCGAGCCTCATCATTACATACTGGTCAAGTGAGCTGCACCCCTCACGCTATCCAGGTCAGCCCCCCCCCACACACACACCTGACCAGGTGACCATGCCCCCCCACAACGTACTTTTCCCGCAGACTTCGCAGTTCCTTCCTTATGTCTGCATCCTCAAACTCTGAGTCATTGTCGCTGCTGATGTAGGATGACTGGGAGTGGAAGGAGGTGATGCTGATGGTGGGGACCTTCACGCCTGCCCTGCTGGGTGTCTCAGGGCCCAGCGAGCCCGCCCTTGAAGACCTGTGCAGGAAGGCAGTGGCCTTCTTCACGAAGTCGCTTGCCACACCGCCACTACCCGGCAGAGAGGACTGCTTCTGCACCTGAGGCCTCCTCCTCGGGCACTCATCCCCAGAGTCACTGGAGGCAGGCTCCTCCACGCCAACCTCGATGGAGGAGGCTGTCTGGACCCGCCGCACTACCAGCTTCACATCAGGGCTGGAGGGGATCTCATCCAGGTAAACATCAGGGGGGGCAGAGTACCGCAGGCTGTGGGGCGACGCCAGAGTCCACTCGTCTTGTGTGCTGACCACAGAGAAGCGGCCCACGGTTTTGGCTGGAGAACTGCCGTCCTGCTGCCCCGGCCGCTTATGAGGGGACCCGGAGACCCGAGCGCCACGCATCTGGGCTGGGCTACCCTCTGTGAAGGTCCCCGGGCAACTCTGCCCGGGTGCAGCCAAGGCTTCTCTGGGAACACTGCTGTTCTGATCTTTGGGATCCATGTGTGGAGTAGGGATGGAAGAGACAGGGGCATCCTGAGGGAAGGATGAAGCAAAGCGTCTATGAGAACCAGCTGTGGTTAGAACCCCCTGCCGCCTCTGGCTAGCGCGTTAAGTCACCTTTACCTGGGGGACACCGGGTGCTGGGGGGGAGTCTGAGGCCACCTGCCCTGTGTCACTGTCACAGCCCAGGGTGTTGCTGGAAGATGACTCTGCTGTAGGAACATGACAGCATTACTGAGGCTGGAGAGAGGGAACAGTAAAGGAGGGTTCACAGCCCAGAGGCCCACGAGGTGGGAGTGGCTGTGGGGCAGGGAGGGGTGACATTCCAGGGGCTCTGGAGACTGAGAAGGCACTGTGGTGCCCTATATCGGGGACATCACACCCTGGAAGACATCCACAATCCTGGGGAAGGGCAGGGGTGTGGGAAGGAACACTCTTGCTTTGGGCACTCTGTACTTTAGTGGCTGAAACCGTTTCCAGATCTCAGAGGACACAGTAAACAGATCCCAGGCCTAGGGAATGCCTGCTACCCGTGTGTACACACACGTACACACGTACACACACACACACACACACACACACACACACACACCACTCCTCTGGTGCTCTGTTTTCAGAGTGGGACAGCACAATGTTTCCGGCAAGCTTCCTTGGGTTGCTATGAAGAGCCATGGAGAAAAGCCCAGGGAGAAGTGTGTGTGAGCAGAGATCCCTTCATAGTCAAGTCACAGGCAGGATGGGGCCAGAGTTAGGCCATATGCTATGGGGTGGGGATGGGGGTGCAAAGATGCTAGCCAAGCCTCCAGGGAGACTGGGGAGCCACCACACAGCAAGATAGAACACAAATGGACACATGGACTCACACAAGTGTGCTTTGAATCCTCTATATAGGAACCTCACCTTCCTGGGGAGACCTGATTCCAGTCTCTATTACATGTCCCCAACTTATAAGCAACACTTAATCCCCTTCCTCACTTTGCGCACTCCAGTGACAGGGCTCACCACCAACTACATCCTTCTAGTTCTGTGCCCGTTACAAAGTTTACCTGTTTGGACCTGGATCATGAGTCAGCCTTCTGGAACAACCCCTCTACTGCCTACCATGACTTCTGAACTCCGAGACGCGTGTGGATTTGTGATTGCAGGTAACACCCCTTACAGGACACAGAGGCTCCATCACCTCTTCTATGAGATTTGGGACGCTGACCTCAGCTCCAGGCTGGCACGGGGTTAAGGGTAACAGAAGCTGCCTCTGACCTCTTGAAGCACTGTCCCAGGAACCAACTCAGCAGCTGCGTGGGTCCACCAGGTGGAGCTGGACTGCTCCCTGACTGCAGCTTAGCCCTGAGAGCCACCTGTTACTGAGAGTAACTCTTACCTTGCCAACCCTTAAGAAGTCCAGCTGAGGAAGCCCGGCACCTTAGAAGGTAGACCAGACCCATAGAGTGAAGACTCAAATGTTTGGTAACAATCCAAGAACCACGTGATCTCAGCAACTCGGAAGGCTGAGGCAGGGATCAATGTAAGTTCAAGGCTAGCCTGGGCTACACAGCTATCTCAAAAGAAGAAAGGGCTGGCGAGATAGTTCACTGGGTTAAGATACTTGCCACCAAGTTGATGACTTAAGTTTAATCCCCAAGATCTTCACGATGGAAGGAGGGAACCAGTTGCTGCAAGTTAACCTCTCACCTCTGCATAGACCACAGGAACCCATGAACCTAAGCAAGAGTCCTCCTGAGGTACACAGCTGCTAGGGGCAACCGAGGAAAGCAGTGGGGTCTGAGACCACTCTCTACCCTTCCCTTGTTCTACCCTTCACGTTCCCAGACAGGCCTCTTTGGATTGAGAGCAGTTCTGTCTGTGGGCTGTTTCATCACCGAAAGCATGAGTGTGCAAAGGCTCTGGGCTCCAGGAGTACTGTGGCACCTGCAGAGTGTAGCCTGCACTACTACCTTGACCTTGAGGTGTTACCTGTCATTGGAGAAGACGCACCCTGTTCCCGCTGGGCCAGGGCCCATCCTGCAGGGGCCGTTTCTGACTTTTCCAACTGGAAGAAGAAAAAAAAATGGAAGAATTGATTTATCAATATCTTTTTTTTTTTTTTCCCGAGACAGGGTTTCTCTATGTAGTTTTGGTACCTGTCCTGGATCTCGCTCTGTAGACCAGGCTGGCCTCGAACTCACGGAGATCCGCCTGGCTCTGCCTCCCGAGTGCTGGGATTAAAGGCGTGCGCCAACACCCCCGGTTGGCTTATCAACATCTTAGTAACTAAACCCTAAACTGCTAATCTGTGACCCTGCTATGGGTGAAACTGTCCCTAGCCTGCCCTGCCTCCTCCATATGAACAACTGATCTGAGCCGCCCGGCACCACACCCCACAGGTGCGCCACCAAGAGCCAACCAGGACCTGCATAGCTAGGATGCCTGCCCACCTCCAGCCACAACCAGTGAGGGTGTATTGGGGTGAGTCAAGCTACTCACTGAGGGCTGGGCCTGCTGGGGGAGGCTTGGGGTCCTGTCACTCAAAGCTGAGGGCAGGTCTCCTCGCAGGGGCTCCAAGGTGAAGTCTCTATCGCTTGCCTCCATGGGAGTCCCAGCCGAGGCTGAGGAGGTGGGCACGTGCTCCTGATAGAGCAGAGTCCGCAGTTTCTCATCCAGGCTCTTGATGGTGTTGTCCACGAAGCCTACCCTAGGGGGTGGCCCTTCCCCATCGGATTCCAAGGCTGAGGGGGGTGGTGGGGGAGCAGTAGGCCCCAGGGGGGGACTGGGGAGCTGGGGAGTTGCCAGGCTGACAGCTCCCACTGTGCTGGGCAGCGGGGGTGGTGGCTGACCCGGCACGGGCTGTGTGGCCCCGATGGGGGGGCTGGGCTCTGGCACTGAAGCAGGCAGGGGCTCCCCTATAGTGCTGACCTCCCTGGTTGAGACGGGCTCCCCCAGACCCGTGGAGCAGCGAGAGGCTTCTGGAGCTGGGGTGCAAGGTCCTTGGCCAGTGCTGAGGGGCTGGGTAGCACACTGGTGAGTCTCGACCAGTGGCTGGTGGGTCTCATGGATACTGGCTGGTCCTTGATGGGTCCCTGGGGCCCCTGCCGGCACGGCAGTCCCTGATGCTGACTCTGGCACGGTGCTGGTGGCTGGTGCTGCCGGGGTTACAGTAGTCACAGGAGGGGAAGACGGGGCCAAGGGGGCTGAGGCTCCACCAGGAGGGTTGCTGGAGCCTGCCTGGCTCAGGAGCTGCTGGGCAGCTGGGAAACTAGGTTTGTCCTTCAAGGACGGCTGGTCTGGATAGGGCGCTGGGTCTAGAAGACAAAAAGAGAATGGTTGGCATCACTTACCCTGACCCTCTTTAACCAGTCCTTCCCTGGCCGCACTGACGACCTGGCTGGGGCTCCCACAAACTCATCTTTATTCCTCCAAGAGGCCAAGTTCCAGTCTGCCACCCAGTCCCGTGCTGAGCAGCACTGCCACCAGCTCTCACCTACAGCTCTCTGCTCCTGCAGAGTAGGCTATGGTGTTCTATACCATCCCTTTCCTACCATCTGGCTGCAGATCTTGTCAGGCATGGCCTTCTCTCTTCCCCCTATCTGTCCACACTGCTTGTCCATGCTGGACAAAACTTGAACATGAATTTACAAAGCGCTGAGTGAAGCAGTGAGTTATATTTACATCCTTGCCCCAGAGCAAGGAGGAACCCAGAATCTTCCAATCCATCAGATGCCCAGTGTTTGGCACATTCAGAGCGTAGAGTTGGCAAAGAATCCTGGGAGTGAAGGAGCTGGGGAAATGCTGTGGAACAATCTTTGTACACTGTAAATAAGTATTGCTCTCATTGTTAATAAAAAGCTGATTAGCCAATAAGCAGGCAGTATTTTCAGGGCACAGAGAATGCTGGGAAGAAGGAGGGCAGGGTCTGGGAGGTCTCTAGGAGACGAAGGAGGAGCAAGACATGCTGGAGAACAGGTAAAGCCACGAGCCACAGGGCAGCACATAGATTAGTAGAAATGGGTTAATTTAAGTGGTAAGAGCTACTTAGTAATAAGCCTGAGCTATGGGCTGAGCATTTATCATTAATATTAAGTCTCTGTGTGTTTATTTTGGAGCCAGTGGTCCTGACAAAAACTCTGCCTACAGGGGATCACATGAAGACAAAGTCCAATAGTGTCCTGCTAGAGCACCCAAGGCCCTAAAGGCAGTCACAGGGACTGTGCTGGGAATCGAAGGGAGGGCACAGGGTGTGGTATGTCTCAAACCCATATGGGTTGGAGCTCGCCATTTCTCGCTTTCTAAACAGAAGCCCTGTGCTCTTTTATAGACAGGGACACACTGTGCAACACTAAAGCTGAGGAGCTGGCTGCATGGGAAAAGTGCCGGCCATGCAAGCATAAAGACCTGAGTTTAGACCCCTAGCATCTACCCAGAAGCCAATCATGGTGGCATGTGCCTATAATCCCAGCACTGGGTATGTGTGTGTGTGTAGGGGGGACAGGTAGATTTCTGGAGCTCACTGGACAACCAGCCTAGCCAAACTGGGAAGTTCCAGGTTCTATAAGAGACCTTTTCTCAAAAAATAAGATGGATGCCTTAAAAAAGAAAAAAAATACCCTAGGAAGACTCCGAGCATCAACCTCCAGCCTCCACACATGGACACATGTAGACTCCCACATGGACACATGCAAACTCCATACCTACACAGAGTCTCTTACACACACACACACACACACACACACCGAAAACTATAAAAAAGCAGTAGGAGTGGGCTGGTTACCAGCATCCAAAGCCCTTCTCCTGTGCCCAGACCCATGCAGATACTCCATCCCTGCCTCACCACAGGTCAATAACTGACAAGTTCTCCCTCCTGTTGTCTTGATGGCACTGGCGTGTCTTCTAAAGAGCACATGTGTGTCCGAGGTTTGGGATGTTCTTCTATCGATAGATGGTGGTACAGAGGTGCCATAGGTGCACACCCAGAGATGTGGCTGGCCACAGAGAACCTCTGGCTTCAACTGAGGCTGGTAAGCCACCTCCAAGGTGGGGGATGGTGTCCCTCCTAGGGCAATTTGTGAATGCTCATGAGCCTTCCTCCTCTCCTCCCTGGGAGAGTGGTAAAGGCATTACTTCCGATTATGGTAACAATTAACATGAAACAAACCCTCTTAAAGGCTCCAATACACAGCACGGTACTAGCCTGCATAACTGAATAAAACCTCAGACCTGCTGCACAGCCATGGTTTGCCTGTCAATCTCCACTCTGCTCTGATTCTGACTATACAGACACCTCCCACAAGTAGAGTTACATGGTCCTTGTGCTTCTGTGAATGGCTTGTTTCATTCAACACAACACCCCCAGGCACATTCATGCTGCTGCCAATGGCAGGGTTTCCTTTTTAATGTCTCAACGGCAGTCTACTAGGTATACACATTTCTCTTTATCTAGTCATCTGCTGACATTCCATTTGTTTCCACGTCTTAGACCACTGCAAATGATGTTGCATGAACATGGAAGAGCAGACATTTCCTCCAGAATTTGCTTTCAATTCACTTGAAACACGCCCAGATATGGGGCTGCTACATCATGGAACAGTTCTGCTTTTGACTTCTTGAGGAACTTGTATGCTTGTTGTTGGGAATTTTTACTCTTTTTGGCTCTTTTTTGGGAGCCTGCCACCCAGTTCCCAAATAAATTCACACACGGAGGCTTATTCTTAATTATGAGTGCCTGGCCTTAGCTTGGCTTAGTTTCTAGTCAGCTTTCCTTATCTTAAACTATCCAATTTATCTTTTGCCTCTGGGCTTTTCCTGTTCTCTTAACTTCTGTAAATCTTACTCTTACTTCCTGGCTTGCTGTGTAGCTGGGTGGCTGGTCCCTGGAGTCATCCTCCTCCTCTGGCTCCTTGATCTTAGATCTCCAATCCCTCTTCCCAGAGTTCTCTTTCTATTTATTTTCTCTGCCTGCCAGCTCCACCTACCCTTTCTCCTGCTTTGCTATTGGCCATTCCACTCTTTATTAGACCATCAAGGTGCTTTAGACAGGCACAGTAACAGCTTCACAAAGATAAACAAATGCAATATGAACAAAAGTAATACACCTTAAAATATTCTACTACACATGCTGCTTCCTATAATATCTGTACCAATTTACATTCTTGCCAGTTGTACAGATGGCTTCCCATTTCTCCACATCCTTGCCAAAACTTTGTCTTTACGTTTTGTTTTTATATTTGTATGCAAGCACACACACATGCCATGGCTGGAGCATGGAAGTCAGAGGAAACTTACAGAAGCCAGTTTTCTCCTTCCAGGTCCAGGATCTAACTGGGGTCCCTGGGCTTGATGTCAAGCACGTTACACACTGAGTCATAGCACTGGTCTTGTCTTTTGTTAACAACATCCTTTGTGTAGGTTATTTTCCCCCTCAAGACAGGGTTTCTCCGTGTAGTTTTGGTGCCTGTTCTGGATCTTGCTCTGTAGACCAGGCTGGCCTCAAACTCACAGAGATCCACCTGGCTCTGGCTCCGGCTCCCAAGTGCTGAGATTAAAGGCGTGCGCCACCACCGCCCGGCCCTTTGTGTAGTTTTGAACTGTATTTTCATGTGACTAATGTGATTGCCTTCTCAACAAGAGCCATGCGGCATCTCCTATGACATATCTGCCCATCAACTGAGCTGCTCTGGTTTGCCTTTTCCTCTATAAGAGCTCCTCATGTCTGCTGGGTGGGAATCATTGCTGGTTGTATGGGCTGCTGGTATCTTCTCTCTGGTTTGTGTGTTTCCTCATTAACTTCCGGAGGATTATAGGAAGCATCCCCACACCTGCCTGGTACATGTAGTCCTGGAGTTTGAACCCAGGTCTGTTTGCATGCTAGGCAAGCACTGAGCTAAGAAATTCTGGAGAAATAGATTTCCTCTGCTTTCTTCTAAAAATTACACAATTTTGCACTTTATAGATTTTTTAAATTTTAAATTAAATAAGACACTTGCAAGTAAAAATACTGAACATAAAAATCAAGTATTTTATATTTGATGTATTAATAATTTTTTTGTGTGTGTATGATGTAAGGTTTACTTTTTATACTATGAATAAGCCATTAATCAACATCCTCATTGAAAAGACTACCTAGGCTGAAAGCAGGAATTATTTCTCAAGTTTATAAAAGAGATTGGGTGACACCGGCCTGCTCAGTGACCCAGGGTTATTATTCCCTTTGGCATTTCTTGAAGAGATTTTACAAAACTGGTGTTAGATCTTGTTAGTGTGTGTGGGAGTTTGCCTGGGCTTGAGGATCCTTTGAGGGAAATTTGACCCATTGATTCTCTTTCTAACAGATCTGGGGTGGTATATCTTTTCCATAGTAGGTAAGTTTTAGCAGTTGGTGGATTCTGCAGAATTAACTAGTCCTTCTCATTTAAGCTATTTGGTCTACATCTGTAGGCTTGCTCATTATCTCCAACAATGCCCTTTATCCGTTATGTTTCTTTCAGTCCTGAGATTGATATTTTATATCTTTTTATGTCAGTTTTACTAGAGGTTTAAAACTTTACTGGTTTTATTTTTCCCCAAAGAACCAGTTTCTGGCTTCATTGGTTTTATCTGTTTTACTTATTTGTTCATTTTAAATGTCATTGACTTCTGCTCCTTATTCTCCTGGTTTTGCTGTCTTTTGGATTTATTCTGTGTTCACTGTCCTCATTTTTCAAGGTAGAAGGTTGTGTTATTAACTTTTTAGTGCTATAGTATTTCCTTATAACTTTAGCTACATCTCACAAAATTTAATGCTATATTCTTGCGTTCATTCAAAAATGTCCTGACTCTCCTAGGACTATTTTTTTTTCACTGTAGATACCATGACCTGTCACTCAACTCTTAGTTATATTCTATCAGAGATTGTAATCAGTATAATGTCCACTTTTTTTCATGTTGGGTTTCTTTTTGTAACTCAGGGTAATTGCTCTACATGTCTGAGAAAGAGTGCATTCTGTCCATGCAGAATGATCTACAAATGTCAAGTAGGTCAAGCTGGCTAACATGGCTGGTTGTTCTCTTCCTGAGAGAGGTGTGAAGGCCTCAACACAGTTGCAAATCGTCTGCTTCTGCTTTTAGTTCTGGTGGTTTTCCCTGTAAGATTTTATTATTTTGATTTTTATTCTTTTGAAGTAGGGTTGCTGGCTTCAAACTGGTGGTCTCCTGCCTCAGACTCCCAGAGCTAGGACTGCAGCAGGCTTGTGCCACCACACCAGACTTAGTTCTGTTAGGTTTGAAGTTCTGTGACTAGATGCACTCATGTTTAGGGCTCTCAATGTGCTTTTGGAAAGCGATTCTTTAGTGAATGTGGAACATGACCTTTTTTTTTTTGTTTGTTTGTTGTTGTTGTTGTTTTGTTTTGTTTTTCAAGACAGGGTTTCTCTGTGTAGATTTGGTGCCTGTTCTGGATCTTGCTCTGTAGATCAGGCTGGCCTCAAACTCACAGAGATCCGCCTGGCTCTGCCTCCTGAGTGCTGGAATTAAAGGCGTGTGCCACAGCCACCTGGCTTACACACTTTCTTTTAAAAAAAAAGTTTTATGTATATGAGTGTTTGCCCACATGTAACATAGATGTGAACCTCGACATGTGTGCCTGGTGCCTGTGAAGGCCAAACAAGGGTGTGGATCTCCTGGAAGTGAAGTTACAGGCAGTCGTGAGCCACTGCATGGTGTTGGGGACTAAGCTTAGGTCCTCTGCAAGAGCAAGTGCTCTTCGCCACTCCTAACCACCTCTCCAGCCCTCGCCCATCTGTGTACCTAATACACTACTGGAGTTTCTCGTAGACACATCTGCTTAATCAAGTTGTGGGTTTCTTACCCCATTTTCATCATCTGTGCCATGTCATCAAGACATGGTATTTTACCTGCGTAAAGTCTATCATTCTGTTGTTTCCTAGGGATTTCCTTCCCCTCTGTTTTTTAAGATTACTTTTTTTTTATCTTCATTTTCTCTTTCCTCTGTTTCTTTTAGGCTATTTGATTTTTATCTATTAGGATTTTGAGTATATCTTTTTGAACAATTCTTTTAATGGTTATGCTAGGAATTCCAAAGCACGTCTTCAACTCTGCAATCTTCTTAGACTGGGTTGGAACACACACTCACTCAGAGCCCTTCAGTTGGAAGGCGGAAGCCTTATGAACACGAGCTCTCTTCGCCTGCCTCCCTGCAGCTGTGTTGCACATCTGCATACGTGGACAGCTCATCTGCTGTTACGGGTCTGAAGTTTCAACCGCCACCTTTCAAAGGACTCAAGAGGAGAATGGTCTGTTACACACACACACACACACACACACACACACACACACACGTTCTTCCTTTGTCCTGATGGTACTACCTAGGATTGTCTCCCTTCTGTCTGAAGATCTTGAATCTTGCAAAGTAGGTGCACTGACGGCAAATTCTCTTAGCCAACTTATTTGAGAATGGCAACAGTGTATCTCTGTCTTTAAGGGGCATTTTCTCTGAAGACAGAGCTTGGTCATCAGTCTTTCCATTCACCACCTTTCAAATGCTATCGGCGTGCTTCTGGACATCATGGCTACTGCTGAGAAACCTGCAGCCACGTGGATATCCCCTTCCTTTAGGGGACACATCATTCTGCTGACTGCCTTCACCTTTTCATTTTTAGTTTCCAGTAGACTATCGCCGTGTTCAGGCATGGTGTTCTCCAGTCTCGCCTGCTTGGAGTTTGCTTAGCTTCCTGAGGACCCAGGTTCTGCCCCTGGGCAATCACAGAGGTGCTTCAGCATTAATTTCTCTACATCTTTTTTCTGTATGTTTTCCTCTCCTGAACCCTGGCATGTCAGAGGCTTCAGCAGGTCTTGGAAACTCTGCTACTTTACTCTACTTTTCTTCCCTGTGTTCCAGTCAGATAATTTGGATATTTTAATTTTTAGCTCTAAAACTTATATGCATTTGTTTCTTCTCTGTATCTGTTTTTCACTGACACCTTCTTAAGATTTATGTCAAGAATATGATTGTTCAGACACATTTATAATGGCTGCTTTGGGCTTCTGGGTCATCCGGTATCTGTGTCACCTTGTCAGTGGTTAGGTTGGCTTTTTCCATGAAGCTGACTGACATTTCCTAGGTTTCTACTCGCCAAGTAATTTTGTTTCTATTCTCAATATTTTGAATAACATATGAAACCTTAAAGATTTTTGGCTGCTATGGTGAATGCTGGTATTTTTTGTTTTAGCAGATGGCCAACATGACCAGGAGTAGCAACCTGCAAATGGCAGACTGCTTTCCACGGCTCATGGTTACAAGCTGGTTCAATTTTCAACACTTATGCAGGACTAATCTATTTGAAACTGGTACAGTCACTTAGAGGCCAGTCAGGAAACTAGGTGGGGTTTATCCCTTAGCTTAGTACCCAGTTTTATATGCTAATTGGGGTGCCACCCGCACACATACACACACCAGCTGAGGGTGCATCAAAGAGTTCAGCTTAGTGAGACTACATTCCAGGTTTCTCCCATTTTGTGCCTTTGTGATATTCTTGTTCCCTTGGACTTCCTGCTCTGAACCACTGGTCAGAAACCAGCCAATGTTATGACTGTGCCAAGAGGGCCAGGCAGCAGAGAACAAAAGAAAATCAGTGGGTTTCAGGTGTGTGCTCCTGTAGCTCTAGAGCTCTTGAAGTTCAGCTAAATGCAGGCCCCCGTAACTTGCTGCTTCCCCATAGAGTTCCCTAGGCACCAGAGTTCCTCTCTGCAGGCCTGCCTCTTTCAGCAGGCCTTGCCCTCACTGGGACACAGCTGCAGCAGGGCCACACAGAGTGCCTGCACTTTAGACCTCTTCTCTCTACAGTGTGACAGCTGCAGCCTTATTCAGACACTCCTGTAGGATGGGAGATGCTCTCAATGGAAAAGGGGCCAAGACTGGTCTTGTATCTGGTTTCTGTTCCCTACTAACTAAGGTCTGATACATTTCCACTGTCTTCAGATTTCCAGTGCCTTTAAAGTGTAATTTTCTCTCTCTTTCTTTCTTTCTTTCTTTCTTTCTTTCTTTCTTTCTTTCTTTCTTTCTTTCTTTCTTTCTTTCTTCCTTTCTTTCTTTCTTTTCTTTCTCTCTCTCTCTCTCTCTCTCCTTCTCTCTCTCCTCTCCTCTTCCTTCCTTCCTTCCTTCCTTTCTTTCTTTTTTGGTTTTTCAAGACAGGGTTTCTCTGTGTAGTTTTGGTCTCTGTTCTGGATCTCGCTCTGTAGATCAGGCTGGCCTCGAACTCACAGAGATCTGCCTGGCTCTGCCTCCTGAGTGCTGGGATTAAAGGCATGTGGCACCACTGCCTGGCTAAAGTGTAATTTTCATAATTCATCAAGTTTTTTGGTCCTCCTCTGTGGATAGTTAATTCAAATGAACACATCTGTCACCCACTTCTCCATTCAAGACCCCCACCATATACAAACTTGCTATGAATAGTTTCCAGGATCACTCAGCATGTAGATAAGGGTGAGGATTTAACTCCGTACTCTTAGCCCCACATCTCTATTCATTAATGACATGCCACACTGTGGCACTCCACAGTCCTACCCCATGACACACTGAAATTTATCCACCTTGTGACAGGGCTTTCCTTGGACCATGGAGCATCCATGTGTAAGAAGAGGAAGATGGAATGTATGAAGAGATCCTCGTTTTGAAAGTAAGTCTTCCAGGGAAGGTTGCTGGCCCCTGGCTTCTCAGGCTAGGCTGAGCCCATGCCCCTGGCTAGAACACAACTCCTCTCAGTGTAGAGCTCACTGGGTTTTACTATTAAGATGACCTTTTCCCAGTGGTAACAAATCTCCAAAAGTACAAAGGAATTCACTGGAAACGTATGATAAGGAGAAAAGGCTAATTTACATATCCTTTTATGAATGTAGCATGATGGAAACCCAAGTTATTTAATAATCAGCTCTTTCTTGCCAAGTGATGAAGATTTAAACCTAAGTTTGTTCCAATGACTTCTAAGTATCATAAAAATCAAGACTTAACCAACAGTGCTGAGGGCAAGTTTACAGACATCTGTGGGGATAGGTGCAAGCAGCCTCAGGAGGAGATGAACAGCACCATTATCCACGTGACAACTGAGAATTAGGTCGTCTCAGAATCCCACCTCCCCATGCAAAGCAGGGTTCAGAGAGCCTGTTCACCGTGGGTGTACTGTAAGGTGACAGAGACAGGCAGCAGGATCACTAGGTAGCACTGTGTAGGAAGGGCCGGAGCCCATCAGCACACAATCACCTGAGCGGTGAAGATAATACGCCAGCTCAAGCCCATGCTGTCTGGTGGCTGATCCAGGAGAAAACAGGGAGAAAGGGTAACATGGCCCAGTCAGCTGCCCTTTGGGGGGACAGTATGGAGTGGCAGCAGCAGCCCCTTGAATGATGCCGGGTACCCACCACATCCTGGGACAGGCCTGCATGGACGGGAGCCCCTAGGTTGCCACAGAAGGGGGTCTGGGCTCTGTGTACGCCTACCTTGGCTGGCTTCTGGCTGTAAGGAGCTTAGAGGAAGTGGAGGTGATGACTCAGAAGTGTCTGTCGCTGGATGTTCAGCCACTGGACAGATGATAAACCACCTCTTCCCCGTGTGCAAGACTGAGAAACAGAGCATAAAGAGGTGCTGAGAGGGAGCCAGTACCTCTAGGCCAGGGACCCTGCTACTGTACCAGACCCCACGACAAGCTCTAGGAAGTGCATTCCACCTGTGGAGGCTCCTCCAGAAGGAGTGGGCAGGGGATTCAGCTCTCACTTATAATCCTGAACAGCTTCACTCTATGACTCAGGTGGCCCTCCAGGCCCCCTGATAAGGAGGCCTTAGGGAAGGGCTTCCATCTGCTCCTCTCAACCAGAAGGGCATGGGGTGGGAACTCAGCTCGGGGAGCCTCACTGGCAGCTGCAGACTCTCAGAAGAGCCTGGTTCAGTTCTTGGGGTGCCTGTAGCACCAGCCTGGAAGGGAGTGATGGCAGCTAGTAGTTAGTGGCTGCTGGGACAGGGTGGCCATTACCAGCTGAGAGAGCCTCATCACCACTCCCACAATCCTTCCGGTGCGGTGGCCAAAGTCCTTGCTGCTATATGCTCAACAGAGACCTTCAGGCAAGTGCCTGCGTTAGGGCACCGAGGGTGCGGGGAAATGGCTCTTCCCTAAGGCTGCCTACTCCGCCAGGACAGCTGCCGGGACAGGCTTACCGTTCTGCTGATAGACAGGGGCGTTGGCTTGGGACTGTCCGTTCTCCTGCATGAGGGAAATGGAGTGCAGGTCAGCAGCCATGCCCACGGAGAGCTTATTTCTGAGCCTCCTGCCTGTTGCATCTACCAGCATGCCCTGGGGACCTGGGCTCTCACCTCCCCCGTGGCCAGACCACAGGTACCCAGGTGTGGAGGGCTGGTCCCTGTGTCAGAGCCATGGTCAGCATCTGTGTCCTCACTGAGCATGTCTTCCGCCTTGTCCATGACATCCTTCATCTGTTCGATGAATGTCTCTCGCTCGGCGGGCAGGATGAAGTCATGCTCTACCTGCAAAGGGACGCGGGACTGCTGGTGACAGCCTTCCATAGACCATGACTGCATGGGGGCTCTATCGGGGATATACATACCTCTAACCTGCCCTAGGTCCCAAGGGAAGGCATGACAAAGGCTGTGTCCCCTGGTCAGAGCTGAACAGCCGAGGGAGAAAGCGGACGGCCCCAGAGACACAGGAACGCAGTTGAGACTGAAAACGCTACCCCACACAACCAGAGAGTCCCATGTGGCACTGCTTTCCCAGAGCAAGAGCTGGTCATGGAACCCCAGGCTAGCCCAACAATCTCCAAGAAAGATAGGTGCCCCAGTCCTGGTTCTAGTGGAGAGGGCCTAATTGGGACACAGCACTAGACAAGGAGCCACACCTACTTTCCCTAGAATAATAATAACAATTATTATTATTATTAATTATTTAAGACAGGGTCTCACTGAGTAGCCTTGGCTGTCCTGGAACTCACAACATACACCAGGCTAGCCTCTAACTCACATAGATACCCTGCCTCTGTCTCCCAAGTGCTGAGGTTAAAGGGAAGCACCACTGTGACTGCTTCCCCAGAAATCTGACTGACCTTCTTCACAAGTCATCTTCACAGAGCTCTTGCCCTATAGCCACACGGCTCTTCTAAATGCTAAGTCCAGGCAGCTCTTTCCAAGATGGCCAAGCTGGGCTCAGCTGAACCGACGCTCTGGGTAGATGTCTGGTCCTGCCTTGCTGCTGTCCCACTAAGAACAGCACCTCCATCTCTCCAGATAACAGTCGTGGGTCTTGGCAGCCAAGCACAGGGCTGTGCAGCATCCGCTCATGTCAGAAGGTGTCCTCCTGGCAGGCCAGGACTGAGTCCAGGAACCCACGGTTCTATATTGCCTCACTGGCTGGCTCCTCATGGCCAAGGAGCTCTTGTGGAATGACTGTCTTCCACCCCTCACCCAGCAGTGGGGACAAAAGCAGCCCAGGCCTGGGATGTGGGGGAGACTGGAAGGCACCATAGCCTGGATATCAGGGCCTCTGGGCTGGGCTCACCAGAATACGGCCACTGTCCTTAATGTTCCTGTGGGTGGCCTTGGCCCACTGTGTCTTGGCTACCTCAGGCAGATTCAGCATGATTTGCCCCTCCCCGTACAAAGAGCTCCAGAAGAGAAGTCAGCTTCCTCTTTCCCAGGGGTCTCCAGTATCTCTGCCCTTTCTAACCACAGCATTTCTTCCCATCCATACAAATGTGTAGCTTCACACATGCCTGGACCATCCGTCCTCGGTGGGTGGCCCTGTAGCTCCTACAACGAGACAGCTGAAGTGCAGAATTCTCCCAGCCACCTAGGCAAAACCCCCGTAGCACGGCCACTCTCCCAGGCGAGGCTGAGGCTGCCCTCGGGCAGCCTCGGGCAGAGTGCAGAGGAGACAGAGCACCGAGGTGTGTGACACAGGCAGAGGCATGCAAGAGCATATGGAGTGTTCTAAATCTGTGCAAAATGAAACAAAAGCTCCTACAGCTTCCTGATAGGTGTATGTTTCTTCTTTTTCAAAAGAAATTAAAGAGATCAAAAATAAATTTAAAAATAAAACAGAGGAAAAAAACTAAAATTTCAGGGTTCAAATATAAATTTAAATCAAAGCCAAGTTAATTCAAACATCTGGTTTCCTCTTTACAACGGTCTACCAGGGTAATGAGCCCACGACCCAAGCAATGGAGCATCCCTCAAGTGGTAAGATGGTCCCAGATGGGGCAATGCTTGTCTGAATAACACCTGTGAAGATTAATATTACCGAAATCAAAGGACTTGGAATCACGTAGGAGACAAACCTCTGGGCACGTTTATGATAGAGTTCCTACCTTAGGCATACTGAGGTGGGAAGATTCATCATAAATGTGGGAGGCACGTTCGTGGACTAGAGTCCCAGACTGAATGCAAAGGAAAAAGGTGGCTGGGCACCAGCTTTCCTGTCTCTCTGCTTCCTGACTGTGATGCAGTGTGAGCAGCTCCTGTTGCCATGGCCTTCAACACCATGCTGTGAGCTAAACACAGCTTCCTTGCTGTTGTCAGGCATCTGTCACAGCAGTGAGACAAATACCTAACACAGCACCCCATCCACCATCTACACCTGTGCTTCCCTGGAGATAAGTACCTAACACAGCACCCCATCTATACCTGTGCTTCCCTGAAGATAAGTACCTAACACAGCACCCCATCCACCATCTACACCTGTGCTTCCCTGGAGACAAGTACCTAACACAGCACCCCATCCACCATCTACACC